GGCAGGACGATCGCGTCGCGGCAATAGCAACGATGGTTACTGCGATGCCGGACCACAGGCGATGCGGAACTGCGCGTAGGTTAGCTGCTAGTAGAGATAGTGTAATACGAGCCCTGTTCCCAGAGGTAGGAAGTAGATCCGCGGAGTTATGAGATGCGTTGATAACTGATTTATTCTTCATTTGGTACATGATTACATACTACTTGGAACACTGAAGTTTAGTGTAATGATTAGTGAAGTAAGCTATATTCTAAAGTAGGTAGGCTGGTCAGGGAGTTTTGATTATGGTAGCAGTTTGTGTCGTTGGCTTGGCAGACACTGCAAAATGTGCTGACTGCTTTGGCGGCGTTGAGTCGGTGAGACGGTGAGTTAGTGAGACATATAATACGCTGATCAGCAATTCTCATATGCAGTGGGTGCTACTGAGCGCCTGGTACTGTTCCCAACTTGGCTATTGCTTGATTTGTTGGGTGTGGTCATGTTAAGCACCTTTGGGTACGAACAGTATCTTTGATAAAGTTAATTTCCGAGCCAGAATCAAGCAAGGCCCTTGCCGGGTGGAACCTTCCGTATTTATCCTGGATAAGAGCTGTAGCGGTCGGGAAAAGTGCTCGATTTGATTTACGAGAAAGACTTGCGACTACTTGTGTGGGGCAACGAGGTTGCTCGTTTGTCTGATCTACATTTGGTTGAGAAGTTTCGTGTGTTTAAGTCATGCGATGTAACGAGGAACGGTGCAACCCGCGACAAGTCCTACATCGAAATTTCGAAAGACAGTCAGCTGCGATGTGGCCCTGTTAGACCCAAGTATGTCGCTTCTCATGTGGGAGTACAACGAACGAAGCGCACGATCCTAATTTGTGATCTGTAAAATCGCATTTTATACAACTGCCTCTAGCCGTTAGGAACACCTTTTTGTGGGGGTGATTTAGTTTTTCTGGACGCTTATCATACTGCTTGAACTCCTGGCCTGGCTTTGCGCTGCATTCTAGAAACTGACAATGCCTACCAAATAAGTTGTTGAAATGATCCCAAGTTGGAAACTGCTCATAGTTCTGACCTCGATCATAAGCACGTTTTGAATCTGCATTGACCTTTTGCAAAACGAGCTGAAATAAAATCGCTTCAAAGGCATTTTCTTCGGTGCGAACCACGCTACGCTGCCAATGTACCTAAAATTTCTCGGAGGGGTGAAGAATCAGATTTTCTCATTTCAGAAATGGCGGAAAGGCTAAATACATGTTCGAGTAAAAGTAAAAGACTGCAATAAAACGATTAAAGTGGCCATATTTTCCGTCAAATTTTGGGAGTTTTAGAGAAGGTAGTCGATTATGGGAACTGGCTCCTAAGCAAGTGGAATTTATTAAGACGGAGTCCTCAAAGCCATTGCTCTTGTTAACATGGGCACGTTTTAAAAGCGTAGATTTTGTTGCTATAAATTCTGCCTCAAACTGATCGCGAGAATCTTCTTCCTTGTCTATTTCTTCAATTTGCTGTTGAGCTTGACACAATTGCCTAAAGTGCGATTCCAAAAGGCCCAAGTGACACTCTGCTGATGCAGCGTCCATTGCTGTTTCTGCAACCGCTCGATTCGAAGTTCGTTGCATGTTTCGTTGCAGCAGAGTGCGCCTAAGTGCAGCTAGCTGTTCTTCTACAGATGGCTAGGTCATGTTTTCAAAGAGATGAAATGCGTTTCAGAGGCTTTGACAAGTTTGAAACCTCTACAACAGTTTTAGAGTAACTGAAAAACCTTTTGATGTAAAATTGGGGTACAGCAAGCCCGCGTGTTCTGAGAAGCTTTTACGACATAGGTTAAACAAATCATTTAAATAACCAGACTTTTATTTTTGTACCCTTACAGAGGGTATAATGATTTCAATCAGAAGTTTGCAACGCAGTGAAGGAGATGTTTCTGACCCCATAAAGTATATATATTCCTGATCAGCATGACTAGACGAGTCGAACTAGCCATGTCCGTCTGTCCGTCCGTTTCTACGCAAACTAGTCTCTCAGTTTTAAAGCTATCGGACTGAAACTTTCCCAAAAGACTTAAATCTTTTACATGTAGTATATAAGTCGACGCCAGCCGGATCGGACAACTATATCTTATAGCTCCCATAGGAATAATAGGAAGAAAATTTAAAAAAATTATATCTTTGGTGTTTTTATACCCTTGCAGAGGGTATAATGATTTCAGTCAGAAGCATGCAACGCAGTGAAGGAGACGTTTCCGACCCCATAAAGTATATATATTCTTGATCAGCATGACTAGACGAGTCGATCTAGACATCTCCGTCTGTCCGTCTGTCCGTCCGTTTCTACGCAAACTAGTCTCTCAGTTTTAAAGGTCTCTTGTGCGTCCCTATTATTGGTGACGTGTTTATGACTCTCTTGTGAAAAGGAGAGAATCTTTCAAGTAACATCAGCTGTGGAATATTAATTGTTTGGATTAGGCGTTAGGGAACTGTGATCTTTTGAATTTAAGCCATTTCTAGCTTTGTTTTGCTGAACTTTAAAACAAGTTGTTAGTTTTTAGATTTTAAAAAAGTTGTAAGACAAAAATTTGACAAATTAATTGAAAGGCAATGGTTTTGGTACCAATCAACGCGAATTTTGGTAAAGAATATGGCTAATTTTTCTTATCCTGATTTTTCTGTGTCTTTATTAGTCTTCTTAATTTAACGTTTTCCACTTTCACTCCAATTTCTAATGAACAAATGGATTTATTATAGGTCTTAGTACCAAAAATTGAAGTAAATCGCCATCGCAAACTCTTTTGGTCCGCTTTGTGACTACGTATACTGCCGTTCAGTGATTGTTTCTTTTCCACTTTTTTAAGATTTATAATTATAAACTCCAAAATTTGTATTTGAATGGATTTTTCGTGTCTATAAAGAAATATATAAAAAAATTTATTTATAATGGCATCAACAGAAAAATCTGCTTTAAGCACACAGCCGACTGTCTTGGCCACTTTGAGGCCAGTACAAATGTTCCAGGTGCCTCCACGTCATTTTTATCCACCTGAAAGTCCATAGTGATCACTTAAATTCCTGGTGACTAAAGGTAAAGGAAGCATATGAAATATGCTTGAATTGTTATGATTAAGTTGTGGACGCACGCGAGAGAAACGTTTGCAGCTCAGGTCCTCCAGCAAATCCAACAGGTCTCCTCCCAAATGTCTCAGGCCGCTCAGGTACTCCCTCCTATCGGAGCTGGCTAATTTTCCAAAACCTTTTCATAGCGATATATATTGATACAGTTGTTTCACTTAAATTAAAAAAACACGAAGTTCCATCCGTAGTTAAGCAATCTCCACTAACCAATGAAAGCTTCCGCTCAGCTTGGAATGATATTACTGAGCGATTCGAAAATAAACGATTGCAGGTGAATCTCTTCAATGTGCAATCCATAGCACAAGAGCTTGGAGCAGCCTTGAAGGAGCTTCAAAACACCATTTAAGGTTTCCTAACTGCCTTACAGTTCTCCGACAATTAAATTGAGAACTGGGACCCTATCGTAGTCCACATTATATCCACGATGCTATCAAATCTTAAGCTCTCATTCTGGTAGCAATTCTTGCGAAATAAAGCTGAAAGTCCCACTAGGTCAGAGCTAAATTCCTTCATATCTATGCGCCATTGAACTCTAGAGAATAGAATTCGATCTGACCAGTCGAAAGAGACAAATCGAATGGCAGAATTTTCAACAACAGAATCGTTCACTACTAGAGTCGTTCCAATTCTCAAACGCTACGATCTGGGTTTAAAAAAGAACCCCACGTGCATAAATGTCCACGCTAATAAGCCTTAGGGTAGTGATCCTGGCCAAGAACACATGTTTTATAGAGTCGAAAACGCTTTCCTCGAGCTGTTACATACACGGAGGAAAAAAACCAAGCCTAGACTTCTGATTACAATTCTTAATTTAACGTTTTGTACCTACATTTTGTTCTTAAAAAAGTACAAACGTTCTTAAAATCAGAACAAACGATCTTAAAAACGAAATAAAGCTATAGTCGAGTGCTTCGACTATAAGATTCCCAATACTCAGCTAACTAACGTTAGATTAAATATACTTTTACATTTTATCTACCTTATGTACATTTTTACATTTTTCACTTTTATCGACTAGCTATGACGGCATTGACGATGTTCCTCAGTTTTTATAATTTAAGTCCTTGATAGCGATATAATTGATTTGGAAGAATAAATCAAGGTTTTTCGTGTTCCCAACAATTTTTTTGCAACCAGTAGTATAGGTCCGGAGATCAAAGCCTTCATACTGACAGACTCGTACTTGGCCAGTGATCCTGGACAAGAATATATATACTTTATAGGGTCGGAAACGTCTCCTTCTAAATGTTACATACTGTCCAACGAATCTATTATACCCTTTTACTCTTCGAGTAACAGGTATAATTAATTTCGAGCCCACGACACTACTTTCTGCAGTATTTATACCCGTTACTAGTAGAACAAAAGGGATTACTAAATTCGTCGGAAAGTATATAACAGGTAGAAGGAAGCGTTTCCGACCCTATAAAGGTATTTATATTCTTGACCAGGATCACTTGGCGAGTCGATCGACCCGTGTGATCGCGCTTTGATCTCGGAAACTATAAGAGCTTAAGGGTTGAGATTTCACATTTAGTTCCTAATTTTCTTACGCAGCGCAAGTTTGTCACGCCCACTCTGACACCCACAAACCGTTCATAACACACACAACCACATGCATTAATATTTTCTACATGCCAACAGTCGGGAAAAGTCGATTTGCTACTTACATATCTCCATCTCCCTCGCACTGCCCTTAGCTGAGTAACAGGTATCTGATAGACGATGGCATATCTTTTTTTTTTTAATTTAATTGTAACATGTTCTTGCTATCCGCGGTGTTTTAAAATGCGAAGAATACTTTTCCTAACTGCAGACTATACAATGTATAGTATACATACATAAATTAGTAATTTAAATAAAAGTAAACTTTAATCATTGCAGTTCTAAAGTCGGTGGAAGGAGAAAGGCTTGTATTGACCAATGTACATCGTACTGATATGGGTGGCTACAACTGCATTGCATCTAATGGAATACCGCCATCAGTTAGCAAACGTTTCGACGTCTACGTCAATTGTAAGTACATGTAAATCATATTTAAACGTATAATACAAGCTTATAAACAGATGCCTAAATGAAAACATCCACAAACGGAAAAAAAAATATAAAGAAAAAACATGATGTTTATTCCCTCGAGAGAGTTATTTTATTTCATAATGAAGTAACCACCCAAAATATAAAAAATCCAAAACTTTATAAAATATAATTTTAATATTTTGGAAACCTTTCTGTTTTAGTTAAATATTTTTTAGCCAGCTTAAGATCAATGTTTTGTACCCGTTACTCGTAGAGTAAAAGGGTATACTCGATTCGTCGTGGCAGGTAGAAGGAAGCGTTTTCGACCCTATAAAGTACATATATTCTTGATCAGGATCACTAGCCGAGTCGATCTGCCGGTCTGGCTGTCCGTCCGTATAAACGCTGAGATCTTGGAAACTGTGAAAGCTAGATAGTTGGGACTTGGCATCCAGATTCTTAAGGTTCTGGGACAACGCAAGTGTATTTCAGCACGGTGTCACGGGTCTAGCGCCCTCACATTTGAAGATTTTGTAAAAGTGTAGGTGCACTTACGTTTTGAGTATCAATACCTTTCAGTCCTTGCTGCCATACGTACTTCTGTTGGCAAAAGAAGAGGACAAGCTTAGAGACTTATGTACATGTTAAGTTATACATCAAACTTACGCAATGCGATATTTTGGGTCGGCCAATATAAAAATGTATTTGTAAACTACACAGCCGAATTCACCCAGATATAATCTGCTTTTGTGAAAAGGTGGAAGTCATAAGGGTAAAGGAATAGGTTAGAAATATAGTTTCGTTCCCAAAACCGCGAAATATTTACCGTGTCAGATAGATTATCAACACAATAGCTTATATAAAGCCGACAAAATCACAGGTAACTTTTAGATAAATTTATGTCGACTGATTTAGGCTTAACTGGCTTATAAACTTTCCAGGTTTAGGATGCCTGTACCGTATATATCGTAAGGTAAGAGCGAAGTAACGGATAAACAGTAAGCTGTGGTTTACAACTTTAATTCGACCATCAATATGATGTAGGGTTGCTTGCCGAAATCGGTGAACATCTGGTGACACTGTGGCGTACAATATTAATGAAATAGTGATGACCGATTTTTTTGGTCCTTTCTAAAAAGGATTTGCAGAAAAACGCATCTAAGTTTGCCAATTTTACCGCCTAAAACTTCTAAGAAAATTCGATGCTTTTCAGGACAAGGCTGCACTATTAAGCTATATATGACATAAACAGACCGGTCCTGAGTCCCAACTTTAACCCCCAGTAAATGAAGCCAAAAGCGCTAATGAAAAAAGAAAGTGAGAAAAGTATCAGGGAAGAAAATACCTAATTAGAATGATAATAAATGTCCTTAGGCAGTCAATTTTCGGTTTGGGACACAACCAAAAATTAGTATAATGGCTGCAGACGTTTTCAAGGTATACTATATTTTAAATTTTTTTATTTATTATTTTTTTTTAGATCAAATAATTGTTTGAATTTTAAAAAGAATTAATTGACAGCTTAATAATTTCATTTTTTATTTTTTCTTGTTTTTTAGGGTGCTTTAACGTTTAAATTGAAATTGTTTTTAGGCGATCGGAAAGACAAAAGATTAATAAACAATATTGAAAATGAAAATTTAAAATCTAATATTTGCCTGTACATTTTCAACTTAAATATAAATTTATATATCATTTTTACTTTCTCAGCGAGCGATAGTGAGTCCACTTGAATTTTTTCAAAAAACAGACATAGGCCATGCATCTTTAACACGCTGTTGTTTCATTTCATTGTGGTATACTGATTGGTGTATGTGTTTAATTACCCTCCAAAGAACTACGTTAAGCTCTGGCAATGAGATGTGGACTACTTCTTGTTTGTTTATGACCCTGTTAGCTCTAACTTTATTAAAGAAGCGAAATACGAATGCAATACTTCGCTTAGCTCGATGATACGACGATGAGTTTTCAAAGATTTGGTCAATGACTGACGCTTCCTGCAGCCTTGTGGCGCTCTGGTAGGTTTTCCTCAGCTTTGTGACCGAGGACGGATGAGTGTGAAACTGGGAGGGCTCTCCTTGAATGTTAAGATTTTTCGCCTTTGCCTTCACTTCCGGAACCGATTTTGTGCTGAGGGCACGTGTCGGTACTCAACTTGGCCTGTGGCTTGCTGAAGCTCTGAGATGCGATTTCCAACGAAGCAGTTCAGCTGAGAGGAATGCATTTTTTACCATCGTAGTATTATTTTGGAGTCGGTCCAAAAGTAGACATTTCCGATGTATGGTGCTATCTTCCGAGCTATTTTCTTGTACGTACGATGTAGCAAAACTGCTGCGATAACTCCAACTTAGGAAGCGTTTGTACCTTAATTGGCGCTACGGGAGATTTGGCTTCGATTCCTTGAATTTTCTTAGGTCGTATGTAAATGCAGCATCCATTCGCGCGTTCCGACGTGTCTGCGAAGCTGTGTGCACGAAACTTGGAATGCATAGATTCGAGGTATTTTTAAATTCTCCCTGAATAGATTCCCAAGTTATCGGTAAGTTGCCTTGCCCAATCTAATCTTAAATCTTACAACGGATTACAATGGGACTGAGAATCGAAAACCCTTGCAATGGTTGAGAGAACTGTTCTTCGAGTCTGTGTTTCGTTGACGAAAGCCTCGTTGTGAAAGCCGAATGTATCCTGAAGGGGCTTCCATGCTAATCCGAGGGCTTTTACTGTATCCGGCTCGTCGAGTTCAATTTTAACTTCTGATTATAGTCCACCTACCAAGCTGGTTGAGTTGCTGTGAAACTTGGTTAACACGAGGTTGGTGGATTTGCAGTTCTTCGGAGTCGTTTTTCCAAATGATTAGTTGATCCCTCCTTCATCAAGATGTCGTTCATTGATTGGCCATTTGACGACTTGGCGGAAGCGTCAAAGACGATGATTCCAGATTATGTCCTCGAGACAAGACATATATCCTTGGTCGATGTATTCCTGCATGAATTGATGACATTGCTTTTTTAACTCTGGGTTCCGTGAGAGTTTGCGTTCGAGCATTTTGAAGCGTTTTAATGCCATTTTGAAAGAAGATCAAAGGGTATGATGTCCTTCCTTCAATGGTAGACGTACTTGAACACGTTTTTCGAGATTCCACTGGTCGTTGGCAACGAAATGATCTTCGCAAGCTTCCATGTGGAGATGTCTAAATTCGGATGACCATTGAAATTTTGAAATTCGAGATTTGAGTGTGGCGAAAACATTGTAATGAATTGGTTCACAAGCATCCGATATCCCGCTGACAGCCTGAGAAACCCGCGCTTTATGCAGGTTTAATCGCTTGGCGGTTTCCTCGGAGATTAGATTGACCTCAGAGCAAGACTAGAGCCCGTCTGTATGACAGCTGTTGGTAAAAATTCCTGCTTAGAGGCTAGCCCTAACAGGACGACGTTTGAATTAAGCTGTAGAGACTGTTGGTTGTGTTGGATTGCGACGTTACGTTGGGCCTGAGGAATTTTTGTGGATGAGAACGACGTTGTTAAGTGCCCGGACTGGTGGAGCAGCGTATGATGCGATGAGTGACACTTCTAGCAACGCGACTTCGATGTGCAGTCCTTCAAGATGTGATTTGGCCTTAGGCAGCTTAGGCACAGGTGCGCGCGTTTTGCAAAGCTGGTGCGCTCGTTTGGATGACACTCATTGAAAGCTGTGCAACTGGAGATGTGTAAGATGATTAAAGGTCATAAAGGCCTTCGATTTTCTTGGTTGCTTTGATGATGGTAGCTAGAGTTTGTCGTTTCCACCTACGAGGTGATCCCTTTCGCGTGCTTCAAGGTATCGGCGAGTTAGAACTACGCAGCAATCGTCCCAGGATGGTAATTGCTCGTAACTTTGCCTTTTTTGATACTGCATTTTTGTCTCTGGATCCAGTTTGCTTAGCATCAGATGAATTATGTGTGCATCCATTACGTTTACTACTGATACAATTGAGAGAACGGATGGTCGAATTGCGGATACAGTATCGACGACATTCAGAAGTTTGGCTGCGTTGGCATTCTTGATGTTTGGAACTTAAAATAAATTTGAAATGCAGTCCAGGAAAATCAACACGTCGTTATCGTATCGCTGCCTCAAGCGATTCATTGCCTTCGAGTAGATTTCCTCGGTGATCTGGAATGATTGTACTACCTCAAGCGCTGGCCCGGTTAAGCAGTTGAGAAGGTAGTTAAACTTGTCGATGTTCGAAAGGCCACCATCCGAGTCTACGAGATTTGAAAGTTTGCGTATTTCCGTCGAAACTCGTCAACTTCAGATTTGACTGACGATTGAGATGAACGACTGACGAATTGAGTGAACTATTGAACGTTGTGTCTCCTGTAATGTTTGACCGACGTTTCCTCGATATTGCGGCCAACAGCGTTCCAAGCTAATCCAAGCTGCTCCGTTCTGTATCGGCACTGTACCGATTGTCAATTTGGCCTTGAGTTGTAGAAAGTTGACGAAAGTGCCCTTCTAGTATTTAAAGATAACAATCTAAAGCTGGCACGTTTAAAGTCTCCTTCTCCTGGTCGATTTTGGTCTTCAAATTGGTCTTGATTCCCGTAATCGCAGTCCGTTGATGCCGAAGGGATACCAATTTGTTGGTGTTGACTTCGCTTCTAGCGGCAGCATCGCCTGGGTCAACCATGGTACAGCAATCTGGTATAACTTCTAACTCTGACAAATAGAACGCTAAATGGAGCTAGTTAAATTGGCCTACCAACTAAACACTACAACTACAGCAAATAACAATGAATCACTATAACAACCTTTACGGACAGAACCACCTTTACGGAAAGTAAATAACATTGAGATTATTTATTAGATCCAGTAAAGCCGCATAACTTTACGGTTACTCACTGCAATCCTATGAATGTGTGAGTGTGTGTTGAATGGCGTACCACTCCATGTAGATGATCCGCCTTTCATACGAGCTGGGAGTGTTGCCACGATCGTCTTCTGGAAGGTTCTCCAAT